CCAATTACTATGACTACAATTGACTCTTTCACCAATCACTATGACTACAATTGTCTCTTTCACCAATCACTATGACTACAATTGTCTCTTTCACCAATCACTATGACTACAATTGTCTCTTTCACCAATCACTATGACTACAATTGTCTCTTTCACCAATAACTATGACTACAATTGTCTCTTTCAACAATCACTATGACTACAATTGTCTTTTTCACCAATCACTGTGACTACAATTGTCTCCATCACCAATCACTATGACTGCAATTGTCTCCTTCACAAATCACTATGACTGCAATTGTCTCCTTCACAAATCACTATGACTGCAATTGTCTCCTTCACCAATCACTATGACTACAATTGGCTTTTTGCACCAATCACTATGACTACAATTGTCTCCTTCACCAATCATTATGACTGCTATTGGTTCCTTCATAGAGTTGCCAAACAAAACGAGCATCACAAACACATATGAAGCAACTAAGTTTTTCTAACATTCTACTTACATCAATAAATGTTGCAAAAACTGCAACACCAGTGGGATTCTGTAACGCCTCCTCCAGACTATTGAAACGTATGAAATCATAAGCGACAAGGTGCACCTACAAAGATCACAGGAAAGTATAATTTGTTTTGTGTTCTATTACATCATCAGAATTGATGATGAACATGAAATAAACAAAAAAATTATACTGAAAAATGGTCAATAAATGAGAAATGATGGTAATATCATTGTATTAAACAGAGATTATTACCTCTCCGGGATACTGTTTACCATTTAACTGATGCTCTGATCCACGTTTCTTATCTTCACCCCAATGAAAGTGAAGCTGCGTTGCCTTGTATCCACTTGGTAAGCCACCTCCTGATGCATAGTAGTCACCTTTAAGGTTCACTTGAACTGAGCAGAAACAAAGTTGGTATAATAAGGAAAAGCTACATGTACAAAGCAAATGTTTGGACATACACGTACACGATTGTGACATATTATCTGCAGAGATTGCATGCACTGCATTACAAATGGAAATAAGCCATGCATGGCAAAGTCCCCATTAGATATCAAATTTAAGATATATTGTTTTGTTTATAGTAATATATTTTGAACTAAACAAATGGATATATAGATATGGATCCAGAAGCTGATGCTTGATTATGATGATTTTTTAACTTAAATATATTTGAAATTCAGTAATCTTGTATCTGATTGTCAAACAAGTACTTGTCCATATTGAGAGATATTACTCTGGAACAGCATTAATTAAAAAAAAATGGACACTGGTCGGCCAACTTGCATCAGATCATCAAACCAATACATCTGCATATGTATGACATGATGTTTAATGAATTATAAAATTTTAATATAATTGGTCAAAGCATGTTAAAACAAAACAAAAAAAATAATGTCTAATGTATGTACCAAGTTGAATTCCATCTATAAACGATCGAGATCCGATTCCAGAATGTGAGAAATGCTTGATTTTTGATGATTTTTAGCACAAAAATAGCCACCATTCGGCCATTTTGGATTGGATCGTCAAACCAATAGGTCTGTATATTTATGAAATGATGTATAATGATTATATAAAATGTGAGTATAATCAGTCAAAGTATCTCAGAGCACCGTGTTGAGGGACGATGGTCAGAACTGCATTCATTAAAACAAAAAGGCTGTCAGTCAGCCATTTTTAAATCTGATCTGAAAGACAAAATGGCATGCATCAGGGACTCATAATGTATAATGTATGTACCAAGTTTGAACAAAATCCATCTGTAAACAGCAGAGACCTGTTTCCAGAAATGCTTGTTTTCAATGATTTTTCAGCACAAAAATGGCCGCTATACTGCCATCTTGAATCAGATCATGAAACAAAATGATACGCATATGTATAATATTATGTCCAGGGATGTCTAAGATATATGTCCAAATGCATGGCCACACAGAGGTCAATCCAGTTTTCGGACGGGGACTAATAACTTGCATCATGTTCTCTCACCTTCGAGCACAGTGACTTTTATCACATTCAAACTCAAAGAAACAATAGAAGTTATTTATATGCTATGTAGACCATTGAGAATAAAAATTATTTTCACAAGATTTCATTGTCACTGAAAATAAAATATTCTACAGTAATTCAGGGATTAAGTCAGCTCTATCCAAAATACAGTTACTTACATTGTACTACTACTACGTTGGTATGTAAAAAATGTAGTCTAGAAAAACATATGATAAATTAAGTGAGTTCAGATTATCTTGATAATTTAAAGCATGCTTTTTGATAAGTTACTGTCAATAGTTTTTGGCATTGTTCCAACTAAGCAGAGAACATGCTAGAAGTTTGAAAAACAAAAGATATTGGAACAGAGAACATGGCATTAGTTTTTTAAAAAAAGATATCAGAGGACAACAGCAACACTTAGAAACTGTCACCTTGCACAAAATATTTTTTTTTAAATAACATGAATATACAAGGCATAAAGTAAATAACATTACCTGCGTAACTTTCGATTTTGTTTTACGATCTGTGCATGTCAAGTATGAGAAAAATAAATTTTCACCCAATTTTGAAGACCAAAACTGATGCATTGTGAACAAAAAGACATTCAACATAGACTTTGATTGTGTATTTGTACCCATTATGGCATATGTGAAGTTTGAATGAAATTGATCAATGCATTGTCAATAACAGGCAATAACATAATTTTCACCCTATTCCTTTTGACCAAAAACTATATATTTTAACCCCAAAAATAACTTTCAATTCACTTTGATTGTGAAATTGTGTCTATCAACATATGATATATATTGCACATCACCTATATACAGGGTCCTGCCCAGCCTGATTTGAGTGCTGATCGCTAATTAATATTCATGAGCTACTTAATATTAATAATCTAACATTATTTGGCCATCCTACTAGTTACGATTAAATACCTTAAATAATTTAATTTTTATGAATGAAATGCAAATGCAATGCAGATGGGGCAAAATATCATTTCACCCTTTATTAGCTGCTTTCTTTACCAAAATTTGCATTTTGTGATCCAAAACCAGATTTAACATGCATAGATCCAAAAACAAAAAGGATGTGATCTGTAAGTTATACTGATACGTGTTTGTAGAAATTATTGTGAAAATCTAATATAATTAACATTAAGAGTTATGGTGTAGCACACATTTTTAACATTTTATTGACCGAAAAAAAGCCTTTTTTGATCATAAATGCCCCAAAATAACCGTTTAATATAAATACATAAAAAAAAAATTGTGTAATACTTAGTACATCACATGTGTACCAAGTTTGAATAAAATTTGTTCATGCATGGGAAGAGCACATCGACGCATGGAACCAAAACTATAAGCTCCTGTTTAGACAATTCCATGTTTGGCAGGGGCTAATGAAATGATTCAAAAGAATTCTATCAGTTCAGTTATACATTCATTGCTGGAATTATGAACAATTTCTAAATATTGGATATAAGAGACATTAATTCACAGCTTTCCGAAATGGTTTGTTTGGAAAAAAAATAGATCTATTGAAAGAAAGAATTTTGTAAATGGTGAAGTTGTGACATAGGGGTGATCCGTTTGAGGGGGTCTCTGGATATTTCTTTTTCTTACGGCATATATTTTATTATTATGCATCTGTCACCATAAGTTACAGCGTGCTGTTGGTCGATACTCTCGCTGTACTGTCTTAATGCATATTTTGAGGTACCTTCGTAATAATCTCATATTCATATCATTATCTACATTACATTTCTATACACAAATTCTTATGCTTTTACATGTACAATTCACAATCTTTATACATACAATCCTTTAGAACCACCCTCCCCTCCCCTCCCCTCCCTCCCCTTCCCTTCATTTTCAGGGGGACCTATAACATATATTTCAAAACACCATAGCTTGTATAGAATGTTCTTACCTGTATGTCCATTGTTAAGTATCTGCATAGCAGATGGTCTGGATTCATCTATAAGTTTGCCTTTCATACCTATCCATGTCAGAGGTCCAAGATCTTTTTTGATCACTTTAGTTGTGTCAATGTTTATCGGCGACTGTCTTTCCCCAGCGCAGTGTTTATAATTCATTGACCAGTGTTCAGGACCTGACAATAAGAATGCAGTATATGGTTTTTTTAATATCTGATAATTTCATGCAGTACCAGATTGAACCCAATTTATTTGAGTGGGAGTACCATACTGTAAAGGGGTCAATTATTCACTGGGTTTTAATTTTGCTTATTTCGCTGACTGGAAAATGCGCTAAATTAAAACCCAGTGAATATGTAAAATTTAGCATAGAACACATTAACTAAATGATAAAACCGTGAATTTAAAACGCACTGAATATGCCTGAAATGGTAAATCAGCGAAATTTAAACTCAGTAAAAATTAGTTATTTTACAGTATAATGGTTGTGCCATTAAATACTTTTAAAGATGTATATATTTCCGGTACTTAAACGGGATAATTTAATGGCTTTTATTTCGAAGGCAATAAACCCTTCCTAAAAATGTGAAAAAAAAACATTCATAAATTTTGTTGGTAATTTTGAAGAATCCTTCTAAAAATTACAGTTTCCATGACAACAAAGTCTAGCCCCCCTCTTAAAGTCCTAATCAATAGGTTATTGTTCAATCCCTCTTAAAAATGTCATGTAAATTCGTCCACAACTTTTTTAGTTATCTGCGTACAAACAAACACACCAACTACTTTGGCAGAGATTAACACACATAATCTGTTGATTATCATTGTTCAGACATACCTTACTATATGTACGGCTTACTTCATTATGGTTTGACATGGTGTACCTCTCCTCTTTCCAAAATGTATTTTTTTGCATGAATGAAACTTTAAAGTGGGAGAGTCATCATCTGTGCATGTATCAGATGGCCATAGGGTGTAATTGTTTACAAACAAGCGTCTACCCATGAGCCTTTGCATTTTAAGCGTGTGCTGATATCGTCGCTTGCGATTCAATTCTTACGCATGCGCAGGTGATGACTATCTCGCTTTAACATGAAAAATTTGTGCAACTTATATTCAAACCAATGCATGGTATATTACGTAAGAAGTTATCAAGAAAGCAGATCTTAAAAGCATGAATCAAACATTTGGCTTTTAGCCTTTTTTGGCCTTAAAATGGCTGCCATTCAGTCATCTTTAATGGGATCATGAAACATGCATGTGCGTATGTCTGATATGATGTATGTGTGAAGTTTAATGTCTGATACTGTGGATCCAAAACTGCATTCTTTAGACAAAATAGCCACCAGTTGGCCATTTTGAACCTAATCAAAAAATGAAATTTTATTACATCAAGGTCCCATTATGTTTAATGTATATATCATCCGTCTAGATCAAGTTCCAGAATTGTGAAAATGGATGATATCATCCATTTTTGCCCTCAAAATGGCTGCAATCAGCCATCTTCAATCAGATCATAAAAAACATGATAATCACCCCCCCCCCCATATCTGATACTAGATAGTGCAGTTCTCCAAAAAGTTTGAACTTAGTCTGAAAACAGAGACTTATGGAATAAGCTCTGTGCATACATACATGGCTGTGTACACCTGTATATCCATAACTATTCAGTCGAAAGCACTTCTATGTCGAAAGTTACATCATATTCAAATACCCTGACCTTACGATTAGAATTGAGCTACTGTTTTGCTATACTGATGGCCAGAGGACCCCATACATATCCAGCAGCCTCTGCTTTAATGAGAGGAAAAAAACATAATCCCATGGTATTTAATAACCATATGCGCTAAGCTAAGGACAGGAACAGCTCACAGGTATGACTCAAGTTTTTAAATCATCCCCCTTCACTAGGACGTTATTCTTCAAAATCTACTAACATTTGGTGATGTGGCCGAATGTATATAAGTTTACACTGTTGAATGCAAGCAGTTGAATGAGGGAATTGAAACTACAACCAGTGTGCCCCCGATATGATGCTAATGTGACGCACAACTGAGACACAAAAATTTACTGTGACGCAACTAATTGTGATAATTCACTGGTATGTCATTGTCGCAACAGAAAATCATACATTTGACAGAATGATTTCAAAAAAAATCTTACTATACTTATTTGTTGTTAATTTGTTAATTTAAAAATAAAATTTACATTTTTTAAACAAATTAAGTGAAAAAAACAAAGGAAATCAGGAGACATAACATTTTCATTTGTGTCTCAAACCATCCATACAATCACATACAAATTTCTCCTCTCTCAACTAAGACCTCTCTCCTCAGAATTCAAACAAACTGGCTCAACTGAATTTTAAGAATTTCGTTTTGACTCTGGATCCCTACAAATTCTGTCATGTTAGAGGACACGCTGCATACCCTGACCTGAAGCGAAAACACGCCAATCACTGTACATACCACACACATGTATTTTGTTAGAATGACACACAACAAATAATGGTGGAAAAATTAATTACATGTAAAATGGAAAATAACATATTGTAACAGTTCTAAATCAGTTTAGCCTTTGTGGCTGTGATAAGGTATAAATTTGTATGGGGGTGGTTGACCTTTGACACAGCGACCTTCGCATCAGTGATGAAATTTTTAAACAAATATTTAAGTACATTGTACCATTATAGTACTAATTTCATCATCAATTAAATTACTGTCATTAATAATTTCCAATTTAATAAGAAGACAGTATTAATGAGTTCAGAGAGTGCTCGTTATGACATGACAAAATCGCAGTGAATGACTAATCGAGATGTGCAAAACAGATTGCAATGTACCTGAGTAATCTAGTTTTTCATGACAACGAAATGAAATGATTGAATTCTTTTATTTTAATAAATTTTTGATAATTTGTTTCTGCTTGGTAATAGTATGAATAGTCAATAAATCTTTTAAATTATTCAACATTATTAGTTGATACTCACCTGTATTGCCTTTATAACTCCATGCGTGCTCTGATAAAAAAAAAATAAAAAAAAATTTAAAAATTCCAGTTTTGTAAAATTTCCATCAAATTGCAATTGTAATGTCTTTTATATTTGTGGGTGTATGTATGCTGGAGAAAAGCAGTGATCGCTAATTTCAGTGTGATCTGCATATCGTTGGTGCTCATACGCTTTCCTTTGAGGAATAACAAAGTACAAATTTACGAACCCACAAAAGTTAAAACTTACCTCTTGCATATGCTTGTAGTACAAGAAATGAAACGAGTGTCAGCGAAAACATCATATTTTTTCGAGAAACTGGGATGATACTCAGAGACACAAGTCTGTGTACGCTTACGTGGATGAATAGACGTCCAAAAGGTCTGATTAATAATTAATTTACACTAAACACAGAGTGCACATGGGTACTTGATATGAACTTCGGCACAGAGTTTGAGACAAATGGAGTTAATTCAAGTGTTTACTTACACGTTCTCAACAGGTGGTTTGATTATAAACATAAGGGGAGGATCACTGATTTGTTTTTCAACATTTTGAATACTAAAGTCAACTTTTGCTACGTCTCACAAAATAAATCTGTGAAAATGTTTTCACATATTTTGAAAAATTTGTCGCTGATAGGATATGATGCATATTGGGTCCAAAATTAAAGAACAAATTATAGAAAAAATAAATGAAAATAAACAAAATCTTGTAATTTTTTAATGGCATTTAAAAGGTATAAAATGAAAATACTAGACACGTTGATTTATTCTTTTCTTGTGTCTTGTATGCCTATGTCACGTTTAGACCAGACAGTGATAAAAGCTTTTACGTAATAATTTAAAAAAAAAAAAAAATTAATGGACAAGAATTAACTTTGTAGTACTGTATGTCTGGTGAGAATTATGGAAAATCTTGCCAGACGCCAAATTTTACAATCTTACTGGTCTATCAAAAAAAAATTGTTTATCAAATACTAACTTTAACCTCATTTCGTCACACTGGGTAGTAAGTATCTCTGCAATGATTACAATCTATAAATAGACTGGCCTGACCTTTGACCCAGGTGTCAATAAGACGAAAGGTTGAACACTACACAAAGATTGTGGTAGCATTTTTAGTGTAGAGTCCTGATGAGAAAATACAGAAGAATGTATCTTTATCATTAATACGTATTTTTGTTACAAATTAAAGTCTCTTTCTATGATTTGGGGTCCAAGGAAGCAGAATTTGTGGTTAACGCAATCCTTGGAACGTGATTAAATACAAGAGTCTAAGAGTTCATTGTATTACATAAGAATATACAATTTTTTAACCCATGCTTGAATGAGGGTCAGCAAGGGGTATTTTCGTAAGCTGTAATTTAAATAAATGAAAAACGTAAATGTGTAAAGGTGTAAAATGTAATCAGCTATTTTATTCGTCCATAATTTGTACAAAGATCTTATTTTTTGTCAGCGTATAAAGCATTTTCAACATTAAATGTCGTAATTCGTACACAATTTCCAATTTTGATTCTAAAACACAAATTATCAAATATATTATAAAAAATGTAAAATGTAATTAGGAATTTGCTTTATCTGTAAAGTGTAAAAAACTATTTTTTACTGTAAATGGAACTTTCCTTTTTATTTCCTGTTAAAACGTAAAATGCATTTTATTTATTTCCTGTGACCTATACCAGCTATCCCCCCTTGCCCAAATAGTTGAATTAATGTAGCTTGCAGGTTTTAACAAGTTAAACCCATTCATTTCATTTGAATAAATATTTCTAATAAAAATTTGAATTTGCCACTTAAACAAGTCAAAACAAAACAAAATATATTTTTTTTCATGTTGCTATGGTAAAGGTGGCACAAACTCAAAAAAACGAAATAGTAATTTTAGGCACACACTCAAGAAAATTAGAATGAGATATGTTCTAGATTTTAATTGACTCAAAGATCTGTTACAAGGATACATTTTGTGCAAAGCTATGCCCAAAAATCAAGTTTTGGGCCATTGTCATGGCAACGGCAGGACAGAACTTTTTTTTTTTTCAAAGGGCATTCCTAGCATCTTTTCCAAATGACGTTGTTGTGCACTGTTCTTCTCCATTGGCTAGTTGGATTCAACTGCCAAAGAAACTTATAAAAATTTATAAAGATGACAAAAAACGGTTTGTTGTGCCACAAAAATAGTCAATCACGTCTGTTGAATAAATGAAAACAGGTTTGTTTAGCCGAGAGTACAGCAAAAATAGTCAATAACGTCTGTTGAATAAATGAAAACAGGTTTGTTTAGCCGAGAGTACAGCAAAAATAGTCAATAACATCTGTTAGATATATGAAAACAGATTTGTTGTGCTAAGAGTACCGCAAAAATGAGAAAAATATTTATTCATAATTCTCTTCGAATATCGTATTTCATATGATCCACAATCTATCACAATAAATGCAAGACTGAATCATGGTGATTTATTGTGATTATGCCTGGGAAGAAAACTACACGGTAACCTCATTATAACGAACATCTTTATAATGAACTTCTTGATACATGTATAATGAACACATTGCATGTATTATGCACTTCTCTATAGTGAACACTTCAATATAACAAACTAATTGTATGTCAGTAAAGAGTTCGTTATAACGAGGTTACAGTGTACTTTTAATAAAATATTGCTTTGACATTGATTTTTTATAGAAAACGTCACCAAAAGATATATTGTTGCAGAATTAATTGATTCAACAGAATCCAGTTTTCTGTGAGATATAAGAAACAAAGACGATTACTAACAAGTGTCATCTTTCCACGATCAATGATAATATAACACATTACAGTTGCCCAGAGATTATTTGTGACAATGCACACATGTTTGACTTGTATCGTGTTTTACAGAGAGCAATCCTCATTAATTGTGTATATGAGACATCATGTCAAAATTCAGAGTAGAACTCCATGGCAACCAGAAAATGATTGGAGGCGGATACAATAACGGAACAAATAATAGTTGTACTTTGGTTATATAATGTTCAAAGTTTTTTTGTGTTTTTTTAATTTTGTTGCCAGGCAACAGTTTCTAGGCATTACATGACAATTTGATAGTACTATATCATGCAGTTTATACAAATAATGGCAATATTCCTCTGCATGTCGGACGAACCACGCAAACACACCAACAGGTTCGGCAAGAGATTTTCAAAACCACAAGGAACTTTCACTTGTGGGGCACATGCAGCTAACAAAATTGCATCTACTCGAACCGCCAGTAACACAACACAAATGGAACGCAAAATTTGAATACATAAACAAACACGCAACCAAGTCGGCAGTGGAGTCGGCAGATGACTATATGACTTCCAAAATATTCTTGTCAATAAAGACGTTAAAAATATGATAAATACATCACTGGTACATCACTGTTGTTCCGCGTTGTTGGACGCAGCGTAGCAGTTCTTGCCGCTGAGACCATGGACATTCAAATCACCCATTATAACGATTTTTAACAAATAAACTCTTGAATTCAAAATGACAAAACAATCATTAACTGATACCTTTGGGGTATATTAGGATTTGTCTTCTCGATGAGTATCTCGGTAAATAATTGTCACATCAAGGAGATAAATCTTCATAAAACACTGTATACACTGTTCTCCTCAGTTGCAGTCAATAATTGTTTAGTATGTTCTAAAAATATAATTTGTCAAAGCATGAATGTGTGCATTACTGGTCCTGTACAACACAGACATGCATCCATTTTTTTTATAATTTTCATTCACAGACGGGGTATATTTAGAGCAGATGAAAATTTGAAATAACAAATAAAGATTTGTGCAAAATTCTTTATTTTTGAAACTGAAAAATCTGTACATAACTGATTATTTATTGAGTGTAAATAAGAATTGAAGATTTCTAGAAACATGTTAAGACTTTCTTTTTTTATAAAATGGCAGTGTTTTAAAATATATTTACATATTATTAAAATCGGTATTCATGTACATCACCTGTAATAATTACTGTATTTATTCTTACAAAAGCACAAGCATTGAAAGTTCCGAACCAACCTCCCTGCTAATTTTGTAATTAAGTAATTGATTTTTTTATTTGATTCTGTATTAAAATTTAACTTTTTCACATGCAACTTAAGGAGCGGTGTGTATTTATTTTACTGCAATATTAATACTATAAATTGAGATAATTTACATACATATTAAAATGCAGTACAAAAACTGGATTAAAATTTAGTAACAGCACAGTGGAAAATTTCATTCTAATGTACAGAAACAGCACAGTGGAAAATTTCACCAAAATTACAAAGCATTATAAATTCAGAGTTAGTTCCTTGGATTAATTAACATACAGTACATCAACAAATGGGTTTTCATAACTCTGTGAGCACCATCTTTTTTCGAAGACTTTTATTTTATTTTTTTCTATATAATTTTGGGCCAAATGCACATAATTTCTTATTGGCATCAGGTCTTGATTAAAATGTTAGTAAAAGAGAATAGTGATGAAAGTTGATGTTGGTGCTCAAAGTGGTAAAGTAATCTGAATTTTGATAGAATCTATATCTCATTTGATAAAAGTCCAATTTAGAGGTTAAAGAGATGTGGTCGTCACGCGGATGTGGATAAAAATTTTGATTTTCCCTCAACTTACTGCGATCTACTAATAATTGCATAAGGAGACAAGTACATAGTACACATGTAAGTTTAGATTTGGGTGAATCGGACACGATTATAAGGAACTTGCTATAGATCATAATTTATATTTGTATGAACTAATTGGAACCATCTCTTTTTTTTGTATACACTGATCTGTATAAGTTTTAATTGAGAGTTTGAATTGTAATAAATTTTATCAACAATCTTGTTGATAAGAAACTTGTATCTGATGCATGCGCTGTGTGACAATCACCGCTCTTACCGAATAACTTTAATTACATTGGTGCATTAGTGGTTCAAATAGAACACAGGACCAGAAATATTACTGGGCCTTGAAATTAACCAAATTTCTTTGAAATTGTTAAAAGCTTTATACAAACAAAAAAAGAAAGAATTCAATAATAATGGCCCAAGGAACTTGAATTTCAATCTGATTCACAAATGACAGTGTAACATAACCTGCCACACACAGGACAACTATAGGTGGATTTTTCCTCTAACTTACAATGAAGAAAAAAAAAAAAATTCCCTATTCAATCCATGCTTCATCACAGTAAATACACATACAGTGATACTAATCAATCCATGCATTACTGACAATACACACGTACTGACCTTTGAACCTGCATGCAACATGGGTAGATATGTTAAATTGATAATTCATTAAAAAATCTTGGTCACCAGAAAACATCTCCTCACTTGACTTGTAAATTACGGATTCATTCCGTTGTCAGGTATGCTCGGTTTAACACTACTTCTAATTGTTCATGACCACAGTTGTACAAATCTAAAACTACAACCATCCTTTGACCTTTGACCTCGTCTAACTGTTTTTGTATCTCATTTACACAACTTGAGGATGAATGGGGCCTTTTTGTTGCTTTCTCTGGTGCTTGCCTTGATTGTTTCTGTTTAGAACTTTTCTGCAATGTTTTTCTCGTCCCAGCACTAACTGCAGATACACTAGTAGTATTATCTTCAGAATCTGAAAATATAGTATGTATTGTATCGATGGTGCTCTTGTTAAAACACAAAAACCTTGCTAAAGCACATAGCTGTCAACCAAACACCTCTGTAAACCAAACACCTCTGTAAACCAAACACCTCTGTAAACCAAACACCTTTGTACAACAACTTTGTAAACCTAAGACCTCTGTAAGCCGTACCACTTTCAGTACCCCTGGTGTTCAGTTTAGACAGGTTTCCCTATACAGTAAAATAGAAGACAAAACTATGTATGTTTAATTTTGTAAACCAAGTCTGAAAAACACGATTTTGATCGCCGCCTCAGTTTCAGTAATGATGTCAAATTACAATTTTTTTTTTATGTTAAAGCTTTGCCCCAAAATTGAGAAATTATTGGATGTGATCGACACATATTTATAAAAATAGAAGAATAATTTACTTATACTGAAGTGCAAATGTAATAGGAATAACAGGTTGACACAATTATTGCTGTTACAATGCTAAACTGTCATTTATATTCACATACAGTATGTACCTGTGTTTGTACACCCAGAGGTAAGAAGATCCACGAACGACATATTGTTGTTATCACCCACACCGTGTTTCGGTATAAATGCAGCATTAACTGCACATGTTCGATTCAATCCTAATATGGTAATGATGTAGAATTCCTCAATGGAAGACATCAGCGGCACGTCTGCAACGAAACAATTGATATATCATGAGCAGTATTCCCCCAACATACTTTTAAACAGATCCCATGCCTGAACCTTCAAGTACAAGTTTTTAATCAACAAGACAACCACAAATGATATGTGAAGACGGAGCCATGCAAGTATCAAACGCTACATAGATAAGGTCGATGTGACCTTAATATAAACTTTCCCAATCAAACCACTCATTGTATGAAGCCAAGAGCTAAACAAGATGGCAGAAATTAGTTGCACTTTCTCGTTTCGTTATGAACTTTTTTTTTCAAGCATGTTTACCATCTTGGAAATATTCCGTAATTTTCCATATTTGGAATTTGCATCTCCTAATAAGGTAGGTTGTAGATACCCTGTTATAGTAATAAAGTGACAGAGGTACATGTATAATAATGCAATTACCATGCTGAGACATTTATCATGCGTTTTTCTCAATAAAAGTCTGAATGATCACAGTGAGTCCCACATAACAAAAAAAAGTCAGAATGAGAAATTAACTCACCAGCTAACTTTCCAGGTGGTATATTTGCTGGCAACACAGATGGCAGTAAACCCAAGTGATATAACAATAGCTCTTTTTTTGTCTCAGAGTATTGTCTTGGTAGGGTCTGTTCATGAATGTTATCCAATCCAATTACTGGTATTCTTTGTTGTAGAACCATCCATTGCGAGTCTAGGATATAAGACTTGATTTGCTGGTTTTCATTGATGGGTTCATCTTCGTCATCATCTGATGTAATCTGTGAAATATAACAATTACAGAATTGAGTTACCAACGACACTATTACTATTGTCGTCGTCGCTGCCACCGTTACAATCATTGTCATCATCATCACTGTCTTTGTTGTCATCATTGATTTAATTATCATGGCAATCATTATTATAATAATTATCAGGTGTATATCTCAGTTTTATATGCCTCTACTGGGTAGGAAGTATTTTAAGGGAAGTCATTAATATCAGAGGAAACGAGAACTTGAACATTATTTCATAGAGTAGGTAAAGGCAGCCATATTATGACTAGTAAATGTGTATAATATGGCTGCCTTTACTCAATCAGTGGACCAAAGAGGCAACCTAGCACACTGTAAAATAGAAAATCATTATAATTTCTTAGTCATAAATACAGATAATTTCTCAGTTATAAATTACTGGTAGTGATAGGTAACAGTAAAAGTAACAACATCTGCTATGATACACTTTGACTATTTGATTTTGTCAGTAGAATACATCATTTCCTATTTTTGCATCTCTGATATATTAGACCAAATAACAATTACACAGCATACTTGCTCTATTAGTAGACCATGTGTACTCCTATAAGAGCAAATATGATGAAATAAACACTAGGAGACATTTAATCTTTTCACCCCAAGTTCCCTCTTACAAAACAGTTTAAAGTCTGCACTTTCCATCAGAAGACTTGGACAAAAATAGCCAAACTTATTGGGTAAAGCTCAAAATTGACTCAAATTGTGTCTGTTGGCTTCAAAATTAGAGTTCATTTCCAGAAATGAAATTTCCAAAAATTTGAAGAATACAATAAAAAAGTACAGAAACATTTTGGCAAGGAAGTCTGGTAGTGGAAAGGTTAAAATAAACAGCAATAAATCTAAATACAAGATAAAAACTTCTAATCACCTGACTTGGTGTCTTTTTTTCGCCATATTTCTTTCTTCTCTTTGGATTAGATCGACCAGTTTCCTGAATGGTGGTTGTATTCTCAACATTGATCACCCTAGATCTGAAAGTTGATGTAGAATTCTTAATGCCTACTATAAACATGTACATTATGTCAAACAACATCATGTTTTCAATTTATTCATTATCAGATTCAATGATTCTGGAAAAATCTGCTTCTCAATACGAAGACATTGCCTGGTTTTCTTTAACCTTTTCACCACCAGTTCCTTCTTTTCACCACAAATTCACAAAATAGTCCCGATTATAGTCTGCACTATCCTTTAGAAGATTAAGACAAAAATTGCTCACTCTCAACAAGATCTCAGTGACTATTTTGAAGTAATTTTTCGCATATCTAATGTCCAGAATCAATCTGACATGGTGTTCAACATCCTATATTTACATCAGTTCTACTACTAGTAAATTAATGCAATAGTAACAAATGATATTACATGTGGCGCTAACTTACCGCAGTGACCTTCCTACAAGTTGCTGTCGTTGACTCGCCCGTGTGCGTACTGGTGAAATCATGTTATCTGCTTGAGGTGAAGATTTCGGCTTTGCTGCGTCTGATGGTACGCTACTTTGTGAATCTGTGCACATTGAGAGATAAACAAGTAAGGTACTCCTTAATTAGCTTGATAGTTAGACATTAAGGTTGTGTAGCCAAATAGGAGGCAAGCTTAAAAAGCCAGTACTAACATGTACAAAACTTAAGCAAGGTGTTCCCTGATTGGCTTGATAGTTAGGTATTAAGGTTTTGTAGCCAATGAGAGGCAAGCTTAAAAAGCCAGTACTAACATGTACAAAACTTAAGCAAGGTGTTCCCTGATTGGCTTGATAGTTAGGTATTAAGGTTTTGTAGCCAAATAGGAGGCAAGCTTAAAAAGCCAGTACTAACATGTACAAAACTTAAGCAAGGTGTTCCCTGATTGGCTTGATAGTTAGGTATTAAGGTTTTGTAGCCAATGAGAGGCAAGCTTAAAAAGCCAGTACTAACATGTACAAAACTTAAGCAAGGTGTTCCCTGATTGGCTTGATAGTTAGGTATTAGGGTTTTGTAGCCAATGAGAGGCAAGCTTAAAAAGCCAGTACTAACATGTACAAAACTTAAGCAAGGTGTTCCCTGATTGGCTTGATAGTTAGGTATTAGGGTTTTGTAGCCAATGAGAGGCAAGCTTAAAAAGCCAGTACTAACATGTACAAAACTTAAGCAAGGTGTTCCCTGATTGGCTTGATAGTTAGGTATTAGGGTTTTGTAGCCAATGAGAGGCAAGCTAAAAAAGCCAGTACTAACATGTACAAAACTTAAGCAAGGTGTTCCCTGATTGGCTTGATAGTTAGGTATTAGGGTTTTGTAGCCAATGAGAGGCAAGTTTCCATAAAGCACTCACAAGTACATACAAAGCAATGTATATGTTCCCCGATTGGCTTGACAGTTACATATTAGGGCTGGATGGATAATCAGGAGCCATCTTATCCAACTCACTTTCTGTAACCAATCATCATGAAATATAAACCAACTAATATATGTATGATATATATACCTCTACGTTGGTGCATGTGGTAGAGTTGTGATATCTTAACCGCTGCTATGTGTCCCTGTACAAGAACCCTCTTATGTTCTCTATAGTGTAAGTTTTCCAATTCCGACTGCACTTTATCCACTGGAAGAATCTATAGAAACAAAGTGTAATCAAAAAAAGTTCAGAAAGACTTGGTACATGTGTACTAGTGGGTAGTAGAAGAAATGATTAACCTTTTTACCACTAGACTTTCTCGCCCAAATTTTACTGCCCTCTTTTCTTTTTTCTATGTTTTTTTTTCAGTATTTCTGGAATTGAACCCTAATTTTGGAACCAACAGATAAAATCTGAGTAAATTTTCAGTTTTTACTCAAAAAATTTTGCTATTTTTTTCCATTGAAAGATATATAGGACTATTTTGTAAATTTGTGATGAATAAAGGAAACTGGTGGTAAAAAGGTTATTAAAGACATGATATAGACAAATACACAAACATGACACCAAATTTTATGGGCAGTGTGTTAATAACACAAATGCCTTTTGATCCTAACTAAAACCATTTAGGCAAACGGCTTTCGTAGTTGATGATCAGTATTATCATACATATAGCTTCAAAAGCATTAAAATTGGTCGTTCCATAAAAATCGGCGATTGTTTCAAAATGTCTCTGCACTCAATCCAAAATTTGAAATAGGTAAAATTCTTGTCACCAACGTTGAGCACATTATTGACGTTCCATTACAACCTTTTCTTTGTCTACATTTGAAGCAGAAGCATTAAATTGCATGCCATCATAGAAACATAATTCTGTCAGGAAAGCAAATATTCGAACAACGCAAAACATTTTTTTTCTTCGTCATATTTGGCTTTTATCTCTTATTAAATAATTCCTACAAACAGGAATATGTGACCTGATGGTTGAAATAGCTACGCTGTACTATAGAAATGTTGTGGTACTACATGTAAAGTCAAATAATGCACATCCAGAAAACAGTTAAAATACAGTTTAAAATAGATTCTTAAGAAGATAATTGAATTAATGATATCGTCACGAAACAAACAAATCTGACAGAGCTCCACTCCTACATACCATATATCAAAGCAATCAACTTAGTATGTGGAAAATGTGATTGTTGGTGAACGGACGATGACAGACAATCACCTACCGATACATATGACGCAAGTATGCACTCATAAAGTATGAAATCGCATTGATTTTCGCTAAATGTCAAAGTATGACAACACGGTAATGCATGAAGTTGAGCAAATAATTAAATTTTATTCATCAAAGCAAAGCGTATGCAAATGAGGCTTAGATGAAACACTTCTTACTGGTACATTCTTCTACTTCATCTCTTGATTTATTTATAAAAGACCTCTTTTGATTGGCTAGCATTAGTACAAAATTTAGTTTTATCCATTAGGCCAGACTTTTTTTATTCCTTGTTTCTCGAGCTTTTATAAATTAATTTTTTTGAGGAGGGCAGAAAAAAAATAAAATTATTTTTTTTTTCCCATTAGATTTGTGTGATTCACAAAGAATTGTAAGTGAGATCATTGATCGGAGAGAAGAAATGAAATAAAATGTTGTTCTATGTATAACCTTGTTTCTCATCTGCACGAGACTTCGATACTTTGATCATGATACTCCCACGAAAATGCAACTTGGGTTTGTAAGGTGGCGGGCGGAAAAAAATGAAGATAAAAATAATTTTTTTTAGCAATTTTTTTCACTTGCAAGTCTGCGGGCGCGAGAAATTACTCTGAAATAAAATTTTATTTTTATTTCATGTTCGGCTCTTGTTCATTCGGCGGGTTCGCGAAACAAGGGATAATAAAAAGTCTGGCCTTAAGACAACATTTTTCTCACCGATAGCTGACTGAATGGAGAGTATTTATCCTTATATTCATCTATGGTTGTTGGCAAGGGAGGGTAACTATAGTAACCACCCATCGAGGATGTATCCATCAATTTCTTGGCCATTTCTGAGTTCCTCCAGGACTGTACGCGTCCAACGTGAAATTCGGATTTGAATATATTATGGCAGTTTTCACTTGTATAGACCTGTATTGAGAGAAAAGCATCAACTCAAGTTATACTAGTAGCTGTCTCTGTAGAAACACATTGACCAATAAGAACATTTTTGCAATAAGTCTGAGACGTAACATGAGACTCAAAACTTTGCAAAAAGAAAATAGTTAACATTTTTAAACAATTTTGCATTGATACAGTAAAACTAAGAAAACTCATTGTCATTTTTAATATCTGTTGAACCAACTTTTTGTAATTATTCTGTAATATTCTTTGCACCTCGTAATTAATATATTCCATCTATGTGTACTTCTATTGGTGAGCCCCAGGACTTAACAGGGTTAAAAGAATGAATGAAATGATTACCTAATATTGGTTAGTTATACAGGGGTATATTGGTTAAATAGAGGTCAATATCGCACTCACCTGACTATCATTGGTTGTTGTGAGGTACACAAATCGTAATGACCTGGAGTTGTCACCACACTGATTCATCACCTTCATCTGCGTACATATCGCCACCATACCAGGCACCAATTCTCTGTGTACTGAGGGCTTTAATGTCAAAGAAAAAATAATGAAATTATTTCATATAACATGTAAATCTTATCGGTAATACAGGTTTATATTTCTAAAAGAGGTCACGCATGTTTTGCGTGCATGCATGGAGAGTAATTGGTTGAAAAACCAAATAAAATACTGACCCCTTTTTTGCTGCTGTTATTAAATATAAATAATAATAATAATAATAATAATAATAATAATAATAATAATAATAATATATTTCCTCTTGAATGAACAAAACACTGCTTATAAGACATCATGTCCAGCAGCTCATTCATTTTGAAGCAAAATTAAAGTTTATTGTAAGATTAGTTTGGAATTAGTCACCATTCACATGCAATATATTTACCATACTGGCACATAAAAAGCTACGTAGTCACAATCCATATTTGGATTCAATGCTTATTCCAAAATACTGCGGGTCAAATTACTATGAATCTCTTGTGCATCAGTATTCCGAATGAATTTTATACAATCAATCAATCTATCGATCGATCAAATGAAAAAGCAAAATTATTGCCAACATTCGGATGTACAGATGATATATTAAACACTGAATACATAAACCTCACAATTTGTGCAAAATTCAGACCTGAATTGTTGCAAAAACCAAATAAAAGCTTTCAAACTTATTCCAGAAAACAACTTTAATTAATTCAGAAATTCTACCTGTGCTGTGCTGAATATCTGTAATATCATTGGCTGACTGCAGGATTGGTCCATTATATGAATCCATCTATAGGTCCAGAATGAGTCTTTACTTGCTCCTGTTAGTATATATTAGTAGACATTGATCAGTACTGTAAAATGATTAATTTTCACTAGGTTTAAATTTCACTGATTTACCATTTCAGGCATATTCAGTGGGTATTCACGGTTTTATCATTTAGATAATGTGTTCTACCCTAAATTTTACATATTCACTGGGTTTTATTTTAGCGCATTTTCCAGTCAGCTAAATAAGCAAAATAAAAACCCAGTTAATAATTAACACCTTTACAGTATATTGAGCATCATAATGAAAATAGAAATAAACAGTGTTCTCATCGGACATGAAACATTTGTCATTTGCCTCATGATACAATTTTTTTACGTCCATGAGACAAATTGTCTCACAAAAATGCAAGAAAATATGAGTGACAATTCATAAGTGTAGAATAAAAATTCAAACATAATAAAAATTTGAGTACATTGTCTAAACTGCAAGACGAATAAAATACTGTGGAATACTTTATTTTCGCTGGAATGAATTTTCGCTGAAAAGGCTTTTTGGGCGTTTTGTATGGAATTTATTTTCACTGATTTTTGATGTGTTTAATGGAAAATATCGGAAAAAAAGTATATTCGCTGGATTTTATTTTCACAGAATCATCCCTTCAGCGAAAATAAATTCCAAGCGAAAATAAAGTATTCTACAGTACTTCATTTCTGTCTCTAGATTGGCATAGATGGGTAATTGTCTCTTACTTTCTAAGCTGGTGGAGCAATTCCACCCAATGTACTTAATTCCCAATGAGAACACTGCATACTGAGGACACAAGGACAAAAAGCAGAAAGTATAAAAACAAAACAAAAGCTTTATCATTTATCTTTTTCACCACCAGACTTTCTTGCCCAAATGAACCCTAATTTTGGAGCCAACAGACAAAATTTGAGTAAATTTTAAATTTTTACTGAAAAAATTTGGCTACTTTTGTCCCAATCTTCTGAAAGAAAGTGCAGACTATAAACAGAACTATTTTGTGAAATTTTGATGAAAAAGGGGGAACTGGTGGTGAAAAGGTTAACATGTACTGGATGATGATGCAATTATTGTTTACTCTTCTTCTTCTTTCTTTCCACAAATAAGGTAATTACTGCCATGAGTGCAACTGTGTACTGACAGAGTGTATACTTTGCGATACACCTGTGATTATTATTGTATCCACCTAGGCCAATCTGATTAAATCCAATTTAGATATACCGGTAGGCTCCATTTTTATTTTCAATTGCCATATTTAGTTCATTCTTATTTTCATTGAGAACAACATTGGATGTGTCAATCCAAGAAATTAAATTGGAAGTCATATTATCGCCACCAATGATTTTGAGATACTCAAAAATTACCTTTTTTGACATTTCGTATTCTCTGCCATCTACTGATATATGTGACAACACCACACACGTCACAGATTAACTGGTCTGGTATGCCACTGAAAGAGAAAACATAAAAACCATGAAACGATAGATTCTATAGTTTTCTTTAGGCACCATCCACGAAATAGTTCCATTTATAGTCTGCTCATTTCCCAAATGTAATGTTGCGAACATTTTGAATTTTTTGATCAAAAAATTAGAGGCAATGTTGAATTTTGTCTGATTGATTCAAAATTAAGTTTGAATTTAGTGAAAATCACAGAAAATGTGAACAAATTTATCCAAAGGGTTAATAACCTTTTTTTGCTCATTGTTTAAAACAAGAATTTAATAATTTAACAAAAATCAATCGAAAAGAATTCAATATACTGAATGGCCATTGACTTGAGGTATGCCTTGTTGTATAATTACTGTACACCAGTTATAGCATATCGTAATTTTAACAGAATTGTTTGTTTTTTCTGTGAGGTTTTTTATGTATTTGTAAAACATAAAAAACTCTAGCCACTACATTTTTTAGTTCGTCACCAACAAATTCAACTTGGTTGCCAATTACCACTAGGAAAAAAATTAAACTTGTCCAACAAATCACAGTTACAATAGAGGATGAATATGGTGAGTATAAAATCCACTATTTTAATACTGTGAAAAAAGTAATATTCACTGGGTTTAATTATAATAAATTTGGTGTTGCAGCAAGTATATTCAAGGAAACAATAGATTCTATTATTTTTTTTCAATTTTCACTGGATTTCAAATTAATCGGTTTTTGAAGGAAACAATACCTTCTATTGGTAAATTTGAAAATACACTAGGTTGTCACTTAGCACGTTTATCTCCGTCAGCGAAATAAACAATTTTACCTTAATTGTCGTTTTGTTATAAATTTATTCGTAACTCTTGGTAAATCAGCGGTAACAGAGGATGAATGTAAAACTTGTATCACAGACCCCGGATGACTGGAATTCAAACTTAGTTCTACCTCGAGTTGTTTTATGTTTGGATTGTGTAATGCCGCTTTTCCTCGTAGACTGTACCTCTTTTTTATTTCATAGTCTTCAATCAGTAATATGTTACCTACGAAAATACTGAAAAAAAAAAGAAGTTATGGTTAATTGTGAAATTGGAAAGCATTCACAAAGAATCTTAAGAATAGTTTCACTTGAGCTTAATTTCTTGATAGGCAAATTTAATATGTCAATTGTTTTTTTTAATTTGGTTTAAAACTACGTCAATGGATCCAAAATTGAAGAAGAAATTACAGAAACTTATCATATAAGAAATGTGTGATCCCTTTGACTCCACAGCAAAATATGACTTTATGATTTTATTAAATATAGAATTATTTTTACTGTGCAGCTTGAACTATTTGCATGTTACCACTTTGGTCATTAAGACTCAATCATGACAAGTTTTGAACTTTTTACCACCAGTTGACTCTTTTCAACACAAATTCACAAAATAGTCCCATTTATAGTCTGCATGTTTCTTCAGAAGAGAAATAGCCTAATATTTTGAGTAAAAACTGAAAATTTACTCATGACAAATTTTGTCTGTTGGCTCCAAAATTAGGCTTCATTGCCAGAAATATTGCAGAATATAAAAAAAAAGTACAGAAAAATTTGAGCGAGAAAGTCTGGTGGTGAACAGGTTAATGTTAGTCGTACAACCATTTATGACCACTGATCAACAACTGTATATTTTGTGTACAATGGTAGACTGGGACAGAAGACATAAGTTTGTGGATGTTGAAATTTGAACAGTGCAAAATACCGTATCACGTTTACAACCTTGTGTCAATATGCATACACTTTCACCCAGTCATCCCATTATATGTACAGGTATACCAAAACAGCATATTGACTTGCTGACAGAAATTTTTTTTATAAATTTAAATCCTTATTAAAATAATTTACTAAACATCATGATCAACATTATTGTTTATTTTGAAGAGTTGTACCGGTAATCCCATACATGCCTGTACTAGCAGTTTAGATACAAGATGATCCTTGAGAAATGACAGTATTGGGCAGTATGGGG